TGAGAATCTGATTAAAAATTGACGGATATTCACATAAAACGAAACAGTAAACACACGTGTATAACTATTATTCGCTCTACAAGATAATTTTATATTGTTTATAATTGTATACGATAAATTATATCACATATTAAATCTACAATATTGGTTACCTTTATCTTTAATTTATGATTATTATTAATATTGTTTATTCGTGCATAGTACGGGCTACGCACTAGTATATAATAAAAAAGTAAAACATACAATTTTGCTATGAAGTTACTGGATGGCTCGAAGCCATCCACACTCATTCACTAATAGTGCTTAAAATCTAATCTAAGTAAAAAAAGCATATGAAAGTGATCCTTCTGCCCACGCACTTCACGTTTATTGGTTCTATTTTTTTTTATTTTTTTTTTTGTACAAAGAAGGAGGTCAGAGGCCCTATAGAGCCGATTAGGCTAGAACACGACGGGGGTAAGAAACCCCAATAAGGTCATGCTGAAGCCATGCTCCCAATCCAGTGGGGGAAAGAAATCCGATGTAATCCAACCGACGAGTAGGCCGCTAAGCTTGCCATATGGTCCGCCGCGAAGTTAGCTTCCTATGGACGTGTTGAATCTTAACGCTCTATTTCCGTTCTAAAAGGCTACGAATGGCCTTTACCAGTGTTGCATGGGTCCCAAACCTATCCTATGTAGGTCTGAGCACGGGACTCGAAGAATTCTGAACCGTTCCGAAAACCGAACCGAAATCACTCCGAACCGAAAAATAACCGTTTGACCGTTTGACTTTCTCCGAACCGAACTGAACTGAAAAAATAATTGGTACAGTTCTGGAGATTTCACAAATATCTGTACCGAGAACCGAACTGAACCGTCCCGTATTGTACCGAACCGAAGAACCGAAATTAAGAACTGAATTATAACATTAGATGTGTTATTAATATATTATATGTCAATTTTGATTCTATATAATATAGTAATAAATATTAACCTTCATTAATTTCATGCTTAGTAATACTTGATCTACAATTGAATTTATTCTATTATAAAATAATTATTTAAAATAATATGAAAGTTTAAAGAATTTTTTTTAAGAAAAAAATATTATAATTTATTTGAATTTCAAATTTTCAATATTAGTTGCACAAATTTAGTTATACCTAAAATTTAGAGTTACTTATAAAGTTGATTTCAAAATAAAATCTTTAATGTGAAAAAATACTGATAAATGTTAGTTTTATAAAGCATATAAAAATTAAATAACTAATATTTAGAGTTAATTTTAGAATTGATTTCAAAATAAAATCTTCAATATGATGAATTATTGATGAATATTTTTCTTTAAAGCATATTGAAATTAAAATATAACTAGATAGTCATTCAAAAATAATTTAAAAAATAAAAAATCTCCGAAGATCCGAATCAAATCATACCGAATCGAACCGTCCCAATAGTCCCGAATACCGAACCGGAAAATAAGAATCTCCGAATCGAACCGAACCGACTTTTTGATACGGTTCCGGAGATCGAATTTTAGGATCTCCGAAGTTTGGTATGGTTCTGGAGATTTATTAATCACCGAACCGTACCGACCCGCGCTCACCATTAATCCTATGTGCCACTAACCAATTTCGTCACACACTGGTTTTCCACCTCCGCAATAACTCTCCGGCCCCAAATCCCACGCCAAAAGCAGCCCTTGAAGAAGTCCCCAAAGCTCGGCACCTGTAATAGTGCAGTAACCAATGTTCATAAAAAATTCGTCTACCCATTTACCACACTCGTCTCTAAGCAAACCTCCGGCACTGCTCAAGCCAGTAGAGTTATCAACTGCTCCATCCGTATTAACCTTGACCCATCCTGTGTCTGGCGGGGTCCAATGAATG